GTTAGTGATGACCTCTTGCAGCGCCAGCTCCAGGGCATTCTGGCAGAGATGGGTTTCCAAGATGGAACTGTCACTGCTTTTTGCACGCGACAACCCCATCCCGCATATCCCCCCGTTCATGAGGCAAGAATGACTGCCAGTTGGACCGTGGATGATGCAAATTCCAGCAGCCCTGAGCCGATTCCCACGACCAGCGGTGGCACTTGTGTCACGTGTCCCATCTGTCATGAGCACCGCCCCGCTGTGGTCCTGATGCCCTGTGGCCACGTGGTGTGCCGCGACTGCTGCCGGCAGCTGAGGCAGTGCCCCATGTGCCGGGCTGCGATCACATCGGCCAGCCGTGGGCTGTTCATGGACTGAGGCTGGTGGGCTGGTGGTGGCTGGCAGGCACCTGGCTTTGCTGGGCAGAATCTTCTTGGATGAGATGATGTTGCCTGGCCCATGGCAGTGAAAGGTGCTGAAGTTTTGGATCGGTGGTGGGCCTCTCTTTGTCTCAAGCTGGATGGCTCTTTATTCATGAGAGAAAATTGATGCAAGCTATGACGCGTGGGCAGCCATAAGTGCATGTCCTCTCCTACACGGCATGACTGATTCTTGATTCTTGATGCTTGATGCTTGATACATCTTGGTCAACATATTCGTTGAAACCCAAGTGCTTGCAAGACACCAAAGTCATCCAGGTAAGGCTTTCATGTCCACATTTCACATCGTAGAGTTCATGGATTTGAATGTGGCTTCAGTGAGTTTAGGAGAGGACTTTAGTGCGCGTTCAACTTATCCCTCGAAGAGTCTTCATGGCACTGCAGTGCGAGTGCAGATTTTGCCATGCTGACTCACAATCTCACTTCTGATCGGAGCCGGATGCTAGACCGTAGCACTTCAGAGGCTTTTCGATTGATCCCTCTAATTCAAAGTCCAGAAGTGGCTTGCAGATGCTTGTAGTGCATGTGAGAAACACGAGCAAGAAAGATACAAAACTAGCCAGTCAGCTGCTCCTTAATCTCCACACGAGTTGATCCTTGGCCTGCGGTGAGCGCCAGTAGCATGTGCACTTTTTGCATTTTTGCGTGACACTTTTTGCAGTTGATTGCAGGAAGACTTTTTAGCATGTCTGTGATTTACCTTTCCCCATGAGTTCCTCGCCCCTGCTTTCCGCTTGGTCCTTTCTGCCAGGACTTTCTGATCAAATTCTGTGTCTGAAGCATGGGGGGTAGCTGGAGGCGGGGGCGCGGCAGTTGATCTTGAGGTTCAGTGGAAGTGGTAATTTTCAATTGGTTTTCATCTGTTTGGTTAGATATGTTGAGATGCACAACTTTTACACAGGCTACCATTGGCAGCCGCTCATATTTCAAACTCTATCAGCTGGCTTTGATCTGGACATGTTGCTGTTTGCAGATTTTCCGCACACCGTCTCACCAAACACATCCGCCGTGCCACGGCACGTCTGGTTACAGGCAGGACTTGGAGTCGCAGTCTGCGCCGCTGAAGAACTTGACGCAGGAGCTGTAGAGATGATTTGTGGGAAATCCCCCACGGATGGGCGCAGGGTTCCTTGCGCGCAGTGGAAATGTGAACTTGCCACTATATGAAATGGGCGGTTGCTGATGGTTTTCTATTCGGACAGTTGCTTGTGTTGACCGGATTCAAAGACCTTGCAAGTGACCCAACGCGCAAAACCATTGGAGCTACCTGATTGGGAGATCACGTTTTGGATGGGTGCCATCTTGGTCACTTCTTGACTTTCAAACTTTTACTTGGGATGATCATCCAGAGGCTGGCTTCAGTTGCATTGAACATTTCTTACAACCGACTGTTTAAGCCCTGGAAGCTGTCTCTTTGGTACCCCTGTCGTCTGTCAGGATCCACCTTTTTTTGGGAATGCATCGAATCCTTGCCTGAGAGTTGCCTGAAAGTCGTGAAATTCCATATCGATCCATATGGCATTTATACAGGTTTACATATGTTTACATTATATTTACATTATAATTCGCTAAAAATCGTTTCAGTGGGCGCAATTGTCGGACTTGGAAGAAAGGTGGACACTCCCTTTGAGGATGATCTGCCAAGATTCGGAGCCGATACCCACCAAGAATCAGAAAGTATCTCTACATCCAAACAGACATGAAAGTGATGAACACTTCTCAGGGTTGGGAGAGGGAGGTGATGGTGAACTTGTGACGTCAGGAGTGGAAAGATTGGTCGCCAGCCACCATGCGAATGAACACCGGGGTTGCCGTGGAGTAGAAGCTGAACTCAAGGCACTGCTGATGTCGACAGTGATGTGCAACATGTGAGGGAACTATCAGACTTCAGGTTTCTCAGAACCTGGGAGTCTTGGCTTGATGATCTTTGATCTTCAAGATAAGGAACGATCAGATTGGGACCAGATGGAGATGGCTCTTTGGGGCCTCTCAAACGCTGCTGTATATGCAACATTATGTAACTATGCCCAGATAGGTCCACAGAGTTTGAAGTCGGGTAATGGAGTCATCATGTGCCGACGTCTCAAGGTCTTTGGGTCTTCAAGTCAGGTTGTCAAGTCTCCAGCCCTTCAGAAGTCCTATGTCTTCTGTCCGACCCTCGAAGCCTCTGGGTCTCCCGGCTCGAGTTTCAAGTGGTTTTCCTAACCTAACTTGGTTATCCTGGAATTGCCCCTTGTCGATTTTTTCCTTGGCTTGTCAGCTTTTGGCCAAAGGAGCAACGATTGTGTTGTAGAGTGTTACCAACTTTAAAGTTGGAAAGAGTGTAAGACATCCCAAACACACCAATATGACTGAGCTACGCGTGTTTTCACACCGGCATGTGCCAGCTGCCAGCTGCGCTCACTATGAGGTGGAACTGATCTCAGCCACTTTACCAGCGCTGCGAAGGAGTGAGCGAGAAAGAGGTTGGGTGTCCAACCTCATGTGCAGTCTTGGAAAGTCAAAGGTACATGAGTCTGGTGATCTTGTGAAATTGTTGAGTTTGGGGATCTAGGTTTTCTGAAGCGTATCATAGCGTATCTACAGTTCGATGCGCGGCTGAAACTTGGCAAGTCGTGTGTAATTGCTGCGACGTGTATTGCCGGTTGGGAAGTCAGCTAAATGTGGAAAGGAACCCCTACATTTACCACATTTCCCGAGAAAAGCGATGGTTTCCGCTGAAGATGTTCCCTTAAACTAATTGGTTGAAATTGAAGCACTCAGTCCAAACTGATACTGTATGTTAGTTCACAGGAGGATAATATTTATATGCATGGACTTATAGATGATTAAACAAATGATGATTATGTTAGATTACCAGAGGGCTTTGCCTTTTGGTGAAGGTTTGAGAGCTGGTCGACACTTGACAGTCAAACATGGGTGAGTTTCAACTAAGGAAAAACTGTGGACACGGCGGTGAGTCTCATGCTGCGTCTTCGGCAAGCCGGAATCCGTGCACATTTCTGGATCTAGAACAAGCTCTGTGCCAAGAATTTGTGCCCAGATCATAGATTGATGCTAGAAGTGTATTTTCAAACAACAAATTACTTACTGGTGCTCAGTAGGGAATGGATGGGAATGGGGGAATGGGATGATTATTACTAGTGATTATGGATCATTCCCTCATTCCCTGCTAAGCACCAGTAGGATTAGACCAAAGAATTCATGCACTTCGAGGGTTGTTTGGTTACGGGAATCTTGGCTCCTTAGCACCGGTGCTTCGATGGGCCAAAGTGAGTCCATCATTCCTCAGATCCAAAAACTTGACCAGGCGGGAAAAGAGGTCGCTTGTTTGGCACAGAGCTGCAGCAGTGTAGGGATATATGATATAATATATATATATATGGTATATATGTATATGGTATAAATAATGTATAATGTATTATAATGTCAAGTTAGGATTATATAATAATCCCCGCGGTATTAATCAACCCCCTCTGCCCCCCAAAAAATATGTAATTTAAGAATTGGTGGTCCCCCAGGATTAATAAACCCCCCCGATTAAAAAGCCACCAGTGCTGAAATCATAAATCATTTTTTTCCAACAATTTTTATTCCCAATTCTATTTATTTCCAATTTGTTTTTTTTCCTTTTTTTTAATCATTATTGTTATACTTAAGGTTTAAGTTGATCATTGAACATTTCAAAAAACGACTATTCCCCAAATGATCGATTTCTAGTTAAAATCTTTATAAAAATCACCAGTTTGGATAGCTCCCAAAGGGTACCCCCCATGAGCCCATGTCCCCCATTTATAATAGCAAGGGTTTGCCCCTGATTAATCAACCACCTTTCTGATCCATGAGATTTTAACAAATCCAATAGAATTCTATTAAGATCTAATTGACGTAAGCCATATCCAAATTTTTATGGTTCAGAGTTGCTCATTATTAAGGGGTGGTCAAGAAACTAGCCAGAAGGTAACCCCCCCTACCTACCTGGTGGGGGGGGTTGATTAATCCGATGTTGGCATTATAATCTATATATATATATACATACATACATATGGTATACTATATGTATGGTGTAATGTTTGTATTCTTGGCATTGCGATGGTCCAAAGTTCATCAGGTCAGAGTGCAGAGTTTGATGGATGTCAGATGTCCTTCCGCTGCGTCTATCAAGCCTGTCAATGCAGACAGTTTGGCCAGATCGGTGGGATGAATGGAACAGGACCCACAAGCTGTCAACAGGAAAAGGTTGCCATTTGACTGGGTTACCAGGATGGTCAAGGTAAGTAGTAGTCACAGAGCCGCCCTCACCCGATTAGCACAAAAAATGAGTCTTACCACAAGCCTTATTCATGAATGATGTTTTTTAGTTGATTAGGCTTGCTAGCGAGGCTGTGTTCATTCTTGGGGATTGCATCCTTGATCTTCCGCCCATGCAGACAGAGCTTCCTCTAGATGCATATTCATATATTATATTTCTATAATATTCAGGGGCCCTGTTGATTGCAAGAGTGCATATAACTTGACCTGAGCAGTATAGCATATCAGTATGTTTATTTATACACCCTCTGATAATTCAACATAGCCATGGCAAATGACTCATTGGTAGATTATTTGCCCCTGCGCGTAGCTGCGGCCCTGGTGGTTGGTTCCGTTGTGACCATCATCTCTGGCGTCGCGGGCGGCTGGTGCTTCAAATTAGGAGCGGGCTTTCCGCTCCTGAGACAAAAACCTGAAGGCAAGCAACTGGTCGCATGGTGATATGGTTGAAACATGGGAGTTGCCCATCAAATCATGGGGAATATTCATCATATCAAGGGGAGAGGTACCCATCAAAGAATGAGGAAATTTGGGATTTATATAACTATATATGAACACTTGAGATTTAACAGTCAAAACTAATGGGGATTTACCCTCTGGTAATTTGACATAGCTATGGAAAGTCACAATTTTTTAATGGATTTATATATATATATAATTTGTGAAGGGGCAATTTTCCGTAGCTATTTTGAACTACTGGGGGGTAGATGGGGTTGGCCAGCTATGCCAGCTATGTTCTGTTAGTGTAGTATCAGGGTTTTGACCCATAGCTAAATTGAGACATGGAAGAGATAAGCTGGATTGACTGAGAAAGCTGGGGTGTACCTCATACCCTTTGGTTTTTCTCGCTTACAAGAGACGCTGGAGCTCACTGAAGCAATGAATTTGGGGGTGCATTTCTCCACCCAAACACGATGGCGATCAGCCAAACCCTGGCGCTGCCCATCTCGACTTGGGCCTGTGACCAGGGACCGCGCTGCAAAGTGCAGCGGCGGCTGCCACTGCCGCTCCAGTTTCCACGCCACTGGCTAACAAGGCTGAGTGGCCCCCGCAGCACCGGCTCAATGGGCCTGTGATCAGGTCACTTGGCTGGTGGGCTGTGATCGCTGTGGGGCTTCAGCAAAAAGCAGGGCACTCGGCATGAGGGAACCAGTGTATTTCGAAGAGTGTGAGAAGCAAATGGTCACAGAGTGCCTATCTGTTGGACATGGCCCCTGACATTGCCTTTTCAAGAAGGGGGCCGCAAGTTTGGGGCTGGAGAGATGTCAATCTTATGGCAAGAATGGGTTCTACAGAAATGAAGAACAAGGAAATACTCTGAATGAACATGGCCAATCAGCCAAGCTTTTTTTTTCAAGTAGACTACTCTAAGTTCCTGTTGCACCTCCCTTGTCGCAAGCATGGACGGCTGCGGATCAAACATGGGACCTTCATTTGCAGTGACTGAGCGCTTAATGATCTCAATGATCTCAATGGTCTCAATGCCTTCCCGCTTGGGTATTTGTTTGTTAAGCAGATCTGTGGTCAGATACATTCTCTTATTTTCCCTCCCAGGATGATCACACATCTTGTGTGGAATGGGTTGGAAACCACCAACCAGTTAATTAAAACACATTAAAATATCAGTACATTCTGATATTTGTTATCTTTTGGCAGGCTCGCAACCAATAATCAGCAACATCTCAGTAAAGATTCTGAAGCATCCAACCACAGTTTTCTGCCGCTTCCGACTAAGGCAGCCATGGGTTCGGGGAGACAAAGAAGATCCCTGCGTGCCCAAGTCACACGAGGTGCAACCCAGAGGTGCCGGCGGTTGGGTGATGGGGAATGTGGTACAGCTCAATAATTGACTTACTATTTGGGGATGATGGTTAGCACCCAATTTACATGATTTTGGGGATGGTTTCTTATCGGCTTTACATGGGCCCACACCACATTCGCCACTTTTTAAACCGCTTGTAGGTCCATAGGGATTTCCCAGTACTCATGGGATGACCATACCCCATATGTAGCAACAGCGTCCAACTTCCACTAGTGACTCTAGTATCAAGCTATGTACACAGTGTACACATCTAACTCAGGTTTCTGGGTTTTCATTCAATGTTCATCAAACATATTCGACAGTTTTAGCATTGAAGCCCCTGATTTTGGAGTTCCCCATGTTAGGAACCTAGGACCCCCAGTGAAGGATGTTCTCAAAGGGGGGATGATCTCGACACCAGGTGACTATGTATACCACCCCAGCGATATGGAGAAGGAATGGATGGATGGGGCTCGTTTTGGGAAAATCTGCCCAACGGCCGCAAAGCAAAGGGACCTGGTTTCTTGGCCTTCTGAAACATCACTGGCCTTGGGGGCATGTCGATGAGTTTTTGGGACAGATATTATCATCAAGTAACGTGTACTTTGGATGTTTGAATCTAATGATAATTGACTACTCTGGATGTTTCAGCTCCCGATGAACGAACCAATATATGAGCAGGTGGTGCAATGTTTTGGGACAATTGAAGTGCAGAGATTTTATGATGATAGGGCAGGGGAAAGTTGCGTAAGTGTGTCCAAAATCAGAGGATGAAATCTGCCTGTTCGAACTCAAACATATTGTGTATCTGCGGTGAGACCCAAAGCCTTCCCCCTGAATGAGTGTTAGCGGGAATGAGGGGAGTATGAACAACAACTAATGAGTGCTGTACTACATCCCATCAAATTTTCAACAGACACTTGGTAGCGCTATATCCCGCTACCCGCTACCCACGACCCATCCTGCTTTGGATCTGGGGGTTGCGCCAAAGAGGCAACGACATGGACGGGATACACGTCCTCCATTTTCAAATCCAACCAGAAACCTTCGAGACAACCCACAGAGAAGGAAGCCAGCGACTCTTGACTGTCAGCGCCTGGTGTAGGATGCCTAAGGACATGGGGGAAACCCATAGTCATGGAGGATCCTCAACTGGATGGTTTATTTCTTGGAAAATCCCAACATAAAATGGACACCTCTATATGCTTCTAGAGTTGTAGAGACCAGCAAGATCACAAAAGATCAACAAAGTATGTCAAAGTTCGATTGTGGTTCGCAAAGAACTTGCGCCGTGTCTTTTTCATTTGAGCTGGAATGAAGGCAAAGTTGTGTGGAAAGATTTACTTTGCCTGTCAACCATCCCATTTTGGCACACCTTCCACGAATCTCAGGGAGAGGATTTGATGTTGTTTGCGTCATCACCGTCACCATCACCAACACCGTCGCCGCACGATCCACCGGTGTGTTGTTTTAGGCAATGCCATCGAGCGGTAGTCACATCCCAAGTGGTTGCATAATCTATGGTCCACCAAGTATAAGACATTTTTTAAGGCAACAAGGGCGTGCCCAATCCTCACCCCAGGAACCTCATTCGAAGCATTTTGGAACCACGAACAAAAATACATTAATACAAGTGTTGAAGATAGATGAAGATAGCAGGGTGGTCCAGAAACTCTGAGGTCCTGTCATACTTCGAATATCCACAACCAGATGGCACGCACGTGAAACGCTACATCGAACCCTTGCATGGAACTGCCCGACATCCTGGCGCAGTATGTGGCGGTCACGACATGATGGACCTGAAATATTTGCTGCCTGAAAATGCCTGCACTGAAAGTGGCAACAGAGTGAACGGTTTCTCAGCAGAATTTAGCAAGAATTCACAAACCTTCCCCATGAACAGGATTGCCATCAAGTGGAATATTGTGCAGGCTTCAGGCTCACCGTAATAAATCTGTGAACTCACATTAGCAATGTACCAGTGAGAACCGGACATTCCGATTGAATGGCATTATGACGGCATATGCTTCATCTCTGCCCCTTGTCCCATGTCCCAGGTGTGTTTCTGGACCTTGGCTCCGGGACCAGTGTGGAGGGATTTGGGAAGGGCATCTATTATGACAAGGGCAGCGGCGGAGGAGGAACCATCCCCCTTTTCTACCGGATGTACGCCGATCGCTGCATCGACTTCAAGGCGATCTACGCCTGGGAGGCGAGGTGATGGACCTCTCGTGTGCGACAAATGGAGGTTTCCAAAGAAACGGGGGCTACCCCCAGTTATCATCCCATTTTAATGCGATTTTCTCCATCATACAGTCATAAACCAAAAAATAAACCATCCATTTTGGGGTACCCCCTATGTATGGAAACGTCCAAATAGATTGGCATATCATCCTCAAAAATCAGGGTTCCTTACAGCACTTCCCGACTTTCGCAGGTGCAAGGGATTGACCACAAGAAGTTCTGGACACCTTTGCCGGACGAAGTTCGAGCCCAACTGCGTCTCTACAACGCGCCCGTTTCTGAAAAGGATTGTCCTGACTCGCCTCAAGGAAATTTCGCAGAGACGCTCGCCTTCAGTGCTTAAACGGCGGGGTTGACGAAAAAACGAACTGGGGTTTTTGGACATTACGGACAAGGCAAGTGCCTCAAGAAACCTGGTGTTCTTATGCATTCTTCACGTTTGTTTAAAGTCGAAAGATCGATGATTTCTGAGGAGCAACTGGATACATAAATCGTAGTTTGATGGACAGACTATGGGATTGCGAGGATTTCTGGAGAATTTCGGTTTTGCGGTTTTCCATTCGGCGCTGCTTGCAAAGTTCTCTGTGCACAATCCAACTAGACGACGGATGGCCCGAGAGCGTAGAGGAGCAGAGTCTTCTGTTGTTAGTATGGAGACACTATATATATTGCAAGACAATATATTAAAGATGTATTAAAGGCAGACGAGAAGAATAGTATCAAGACAATATATCACAAACACAAGACCATAGTTTGCATCGTAAATTTCGTATAGTTTGTCATACAGAACTTTTTACAAACAGACGCGTTTGCACACAGAGACTTTTACACACAGAAGCTTTTACACAAACACCTTCACACGCAGAGACTTTTACACACAGACGCTTTTACACACAGACACTTTTACACACAGACGCTTTTACACACAGACGCTTTTACAGAAACACTTTCACACGCAGAGACTTTTACACACAGAGACTTTTACACACAGACGCTTTCACACTTGCTCAGAAATATCTTATCGAATTACTGATGTGGAATGCATACGTGCAAAAAACACCTCAGTTAACCTGACAGGCACGGTTTGATGATTAGAAGTGAGAAACTGTGCGAAGGTAATCTTTCTACGTCCTTGCTCGAAGGATTTACCAGTTCTGATGCAGCTCAGTCAGATTGCGAAAACCGTGCAGTTGTTTGGTTTGAAAAACGGCATGCCGGTTCTTGGCTTGGCCGGTCGCCATTTCGGAAATGGAAAATAATGCAGGTACGTTTGCACGACATCATGGATGGGTCTTCGTTGGCCCGTGCCATCCATGTGCCCACGGGCCCCCTGCTGCTATTTGAAAAATAAGTGAAAAACGAAAATGCTACCGACGTCAATAATGAAAACCATCGAAGCAAATTCATCAAGCAAGTTAGAAGTTTTACATCTTTTCAGATGATCCACACACACGCCTCGCTACCGCGAGGCTTTTTTGACGATGTCGAGAAAGCTCGTGAAGCTCTTATCTAGGCCCTGAAGCAGGAAAAAGCGATTAACGCAAAATCAAAACACAGGGAGGAGATCTGCATTTGAATTATCCGGTAGGCTCAGAACGACATAGGCAGGAAGTTCAGGTGTCGTTAATCATCAATGTCCGACAACGCTTCCATGGTCGCAGTCTGTTGAGAAAGAACTTGAGTCGTCACAGCCAAGTGGCTAGCAAGGTGAGCCAAGTCTGTTGCCGAGAAGACCTGGACCGGATTTGTGCTCAAGTCATCTCCCGGATTTTCAAGCTTCTCAAGGATCGCAGCATTGGATTCCCTGCCATTGTTGAGAATGTCCCAGAGGACCGAAGCCAGTTGGTGGATCTGACTTGGTGCCGATGCCACGCCAACATTGGCGATGATGGAGTCAGTCTCGTCCATCTCTGAGCCCGGTAGAGACTCCTGGTTTTGTTCAGGCTGATCAGCATTGTCAGGCGATTGTGGGTGTTGATGCCATGAGTATGGCTCATATTCCACCTCAGGAATATTGAAGTGCCGACGCCAGTAATTGGCGAGATAAGTTGATTGCTCCCATGAGTCAATCCATCCATAGCAGTCAGCACGAATGTGACCAACAATCCCGTTGAAGAAGAACTCCGGTTGACGGTTGTGCTGGACCCCGTAAGGGTCCACTTCCGTCACCATGAGGCTTCTGACTCCCGTTTGAGGAGATCGAACCTCCGTGAAAATGTGAGTATGGAGTGTTCGATTCTGTCGTTGGATTTCCGTCTGGAGTGGGTAAGCCGGGTAAGCTTCTTCAACTGCCGGCTGTAGTGGAGCCTGATGGGAAGGGTCAACGGGTAGAGGGACGGATTGAGATGGTGCGGTATATCCGTACGGTGACGAAATGCCGCTATGAGTACTCCCGGAGAGGGATGGTAGGGTCAGATCGTCGGTGATACTGCTGGGATGAGGTCTTTGACCGGAGGATGTAGCACCACTACTGGATTGACCTTGAAATCGAGAATGGCGACGTGGCATGCTCATCGGTGCTCGAGGTGAGGTGAAACCGGCGAGACAGGAATCACGCTTGGTCATGATAAAGCTGAAGCCAAGGGCTGAGGGATATTACATGGAGAGGTAAAAAGGAACAAGGTCACCATGGGATGGAAGGAAAGAAGATTAAAAGATGAAGCATAAAGCACAAGGACTTTTTTTTATCCCCTTATGGAAGCATGTTGCGGTTTGGGAGGGCCTCATGGCAGCCCATGCGCATGATATAGGGCTGATAGTGAGACGTGAAATATCGAATATTGTTCGGAAGTAAAATGCCGAATTCTTGGCCCTCAGTCCAATGAGGACGATATTAATGAAGAAGTTCAACAAGGCGGTCCTCGTTGTGGAGAGCGAAAGTGTCTCCAGTCTCGTCTTGCCACCGGATGTCCATGGAGGACGGGGGAAGATAGCGATCCCACGTGTACCAGATGTGTTGGCTGATGCAATATAGCAGGTTGTACACCGTGAATGATTCAAGACGGTGGGTGTTAAGCAAGACGTTGTTCACCTACACGCGACACTACACTACACTACACCCCACTGCACTGCACTACACTACACTACACCTCACCACACTACACTCCACTACACTACAGTACGCTAGACTCAATTTCACCACACTACACTACACGACACCACGCGACACTACACTACACTACACTACACTACGCTGCACTGCACTGCGCTGCACTGCACTGCACTGCACTGCACTACACTACGCTACGCTACGCTACGCTACGCTACGCTACGCTACGCTACACTACACTACACTACACTACACTACACTACACTACACTACACTCACTACACTAACTAAAACTACAACGACAACTACAACTACAACTACAATACATTACATAACACTACACTACAACTACAGCTACAACTACACTACACTAATTGCATTACATCACACTACACTACACTACACTACACTGTACTGCACTACACCACACCACATCACACTACACTACACTACACTAATTGCATTACACTACACTACACTACACTACACCACACTACACCACACCACACCACAGTACACTCAATTACACTACACTACACTACCCTACCCCACATTGCATTGCATTACATTACATTACAGTACATTGCATTACATGACATTGCATTACATTACATTACACTACACTCATTACGCCACCGCAAATGCAACTGCAACTACACTACACTACAACTACAACTACAGCTGCACTACACCACACTACATCCAGCAGTTGTGGGTGAGGTGACCGACCAGGTGGCCACCAAAAAACACAGCTCCAACCACCTTTCGGTCCATCAGTGGATTCGCTCTGCCATCCGTGATTCACAACAACCAATCTCTCCTATAGGTTTCCTATTTTTGAAACTTCCGCCACCGCCTTGTGCGGCACTACTGCTATAAATTATACCCATAAAAAGGTAGCGAAGGTAGCAACACGGTAGGACACACAAAACCTTTTCAGCCATCTTGACAAGCTTGATTTGGACATGTCAACACCGTCATTGCCCCACCCCACCACACCCCTGGCAACTTCAAGTGGGCCTTAGAGCCTGATAGATATATAGTTATTGCATGTTATTGCCCTACCGCAGCCCAACCCAATCCACCCCAATCCACCCCAATCCACCCCGAAAATCGCAGTATTGCCCCTTGGTGTCTTGATCTGATATCAATCAAAATCATGAAACATTAAAGCTCCGAAGATGTTCGGACCCAGGCGAGGAAGCTTCTTGAGGCTGTTGAAGTCCGCAGTCACCGTGGATGACTATGTCGTGGTGAAGGTGGACATTGAGGGGGGCCCTGAGCTGAATATCGTGGAGTCCATCGCCCACATCCCAGAGCTGTCCGAACTGGTGGATGAATTGTATTTCGAGTATCATTTCCGATTTTGGGAGATGGCAAAATATTGGGGCGGCGGCAACTGGGGGGGAGACTTGGCGATTTTCAATAGGATTTTGGTGAAGGTTGGGAAGTCAGCTAAATGTGGAAAGGAACCCCCTACATTTCCTACATTTACCGAGAAAAGCGATGGTTTCCGCTGAAGATGTTCCCTTAAACTAATTGGCTGAAATTAAAGCACTCAGTCCAAACTGATACTGTATGTTAGTTCACAGGAGGATAATATTTATATGTATGGACTTATAGATGATTAAACAAATGATGATTATAAATAACCATGTTAGATTACCAGAGGGTTTTGCCTTTTGGTGAAGGTTTGAGAACTGGTCGACACTTGACAGTCAAACATGGGTGAGTTTCAACTAAGGAAAAACTGTGGACACAGCAATGAATCTCATGCTGCGTCTTCGGCAAGCCGGAATCCGTGCACATTTCTGGATCTAGAACAAGCTCTGTGCCAAGAATTTGTGCCCAGATCATAGATTGATGCTAGAAGTGTATTTTCAAACAACAAATTACTTACTGGTGCTCAGTAGGGAATGGATGGGAATGGGGGAATGGGATGATTATTACTAGTGATTATGGATCATTCCCTCATTCCCTGCTAAGCACCAGTAAGATTAGACCAAAGAATTCATGCACTTCGAGGGTTGTTTGGTTACGGGAATCTTGGCTGCTTAGCACCGGTGCTTCGATGGGCCAAAGTGAGTCCATCATTCCTCAGATCCAAAAACTTGACCAGGCGGGAAAAGAGGTCGCTTGTTTGGCACAGAGCTGCAGCAGTGTAGGGATATATGATATAATATATATATATGGTATATATGTATATGGTATACATAATGTATATAATCTATATATATATATATACATATACATATGGTATACTATATGTGGATGATGTGCGTGGCCGATTCCATCTCTACAATGCGCCGGTGGCTGAAAATGACTGTCCTGCATCGCCGCAAGGACGCTTCACCGAGAAGCTCGGCGACTTCAGAACAATTTCCCACAAGTCGGCATGGGTCGTTTGGATATCCCCCAAAACTGGATGGTTTAAGAATCTTAGTACAAGTACAAGTCGGATATTCCAATATCGATGGCTTGATGTTTGTTGTGCCAATTCATCCAAAATTTATTCACCACAATTGTGTGTTGAAAAAGGCTTCAAATCTGACCAACGAGGCGAGGAAGTTTCTTAAGGCTCTTGAAGTCCACAATCACCGTGGATGACTATGTCGTGGTGAAGGTGGACATTGAGGGGGGCCCTGAGCTGAAGATCGTGGAGTCCATCGCCCACATCCCAGAGCTGTCCGAACTGGTGGATGAAATGTATTTCGAGTATCACTTTAACTTTAGCGATGTTCCAAATCATCCTTGGGATTCGAAACCGAAACAATATGGTGGAGACTTGCCTGAAAGTACGAGTAATCCTGGGTGGTCCGGTATCTAGATGTTTGTTTGTTTGCCCGGACCCGGAACGTGGGTCGTTATAAAATGGTATAAATGGGATTAAGCGGATATTGTACACACACACACACAAACACAATAGGGAACAAGTATTGGGCAAAGGGAGGAGAGTTGATATCTCACAATCTGGTTGGAGAACTGTCGAAATCGACGTTTTCTATAATAATCATGATTCTGCTGGTTGTGAGTTTGCCACTGAGGAAAGACTGTGGACACAGCGATAAATCTCATGCTGCGTCTTCGGCAAGCGGAAATCCGCGCGCATTTTTGGGTCTAGTTGCGCTACCACAGGAACTCTGCGCGGGACCGAGACGACCTGGTGACTGGTGATCTGTGCCGAGAATTCATGCACAAATCAATAGAAATCATCGATTCATAGGCTGCATGGAACATCGTGAACATTGATTAAGCATGATTAAACTGATAGACCTAGGAATTCAGCAGCGAGAGGCATAATCCTGCTCGAAGCGTTCGGAACTTCCTATGACTTGTTTGGTGTTCAGCAAAATCAACAATTCCCTATGGTTTGACACGCAATGAACCTGTTCTACCCAAATCCCTGTTGGCTTCCATCCTGCATGAGCCGGAAACAATGGTTTTCCAACGCCAAGTGCCTTGCAGCAGTGAAAAAAGGACCAAACCTTGGGGATGGGCCATGATGTGCCGGGCCAGATCTGCCTGTGTCAATGTTCCACCATGTTCCAGCGCAGCGCACGACAATCAGTTCGGTTCAAGCCACGACGTTTCTGTCATCGCTGTGTCACTTGGGCATATGATGGCAGTTCTGTGGTTGCTGCTGATTTTGAGCTCATGGGCAAGGCAAGGGGATGAAGTCGGGATGAATGTTCATGAATGTTCAAGTGCGGTTTGGAACTCCCTTGCACTGACTACAAATACCTACAATCTTGGCCGCAGGTGCACTTGTGGGCAAATCGGAAAATCCGCTCTGGACAAACCCTCACCTGCAGCCCCTTCCCAACCTGCCCTGTGACTGGCTTCACAGGCTTGCTGATGCATCCTGTTCCGGAATGGTGGACGTGCCACAGCGCTACAGCAACCGTGTCCACTGGCAGGGTATCCGTGGTGGGATTGGTGGTTGCTTCCTGCACTAACTTTAAACCACCGTGTGATCATGGAGCATTATTCCAAGTGAGAGTGGCCTGATTTTGGACTCGTCGGGTGCTTCAAAACACCTCGGATCCCATTCCTTTTTTGCTGCTCCGACTGCAAAAGTCCAAGATTGGAACCGCTCAGACGCACCTTGTTTTCCGCCAAAGGAACTGATCGAAGAAGGAGATCGACTTCGTGATGACGTCGACTTCATGACTAGGCTCCGTCAAGGCACGGGCATGGCAGAGATGGACAGAGGATGCCTCAAATGATCACCGTTTGAGTGGGGAAACTGAGGATCATGTGATCTGGGGGTCCTACATTTAGACAGAAATTGCTTTCGCTCCTGACGATTTCAGACGTGTTTGGGAGCTCAATTGAGATTTTTGGTGACTGTCTAAAGCAAAAGAAGCAAAAAAGCAGGCTGATTGTGCCGATTCCATCAAATAAGCTTTAGTAATGGTGGGTTGACCATCTGTCCTCCTTGTGTGTTTATGACATCCACAAAGGATTCGCCGCCCTGCAAAATTACTCTGCCGAGGCCGTTTGAAGCGCTTGAGGGAAGAACTGCGCCGCCACAATGTCACGGCGGCAGTGATTTTTGATCCAATCAATGTAAGGCCGCGGCTGCAGTTTCAGGTTGCCAGCCTTCCTATGACAAGATCCACAGTTTGGCGTATTTATATAGGCGTATTTTAATATTTTTTAGACATGTGTTCTTGATGTTATGGTGACAAATAACCTTTTGCAGTTGCAAGGATACTTGTCAATCAATTGAGGCTTCTGCAGTCAAGCAAACATGGCCCTTGGTTTCTTTCTGTATGCGCGTTCTGCGTTCAATGGCTTTTGCAACACATGTATATTTTCAGTGTCTAGCACTGTTTGAAAATTTAGAAAAGTTACGATACTCGGCGATGCCATACTCTGTTCTCGTGGAAGGATATCAGCAGTAGGCAAAGAGGTGGATTTGGATGGGTTGGTGCTGTTGCGTGCAGGTATGCTGTAGACTTTCGCAGCCTGACTGCATGGACATGGACAATGATGACTTCACCCGTTGACAGTAACATATTTCGGCGTTCCTTTTGGGTCTTTCAATGGGCTGGGATTGAGATGCAAAATTCCCCCAGCCTCATGTCTTGAATGCCTCCACGAGTTATTCCAAGGCAGTATGATTCCGTTCTATCTGCGTAATCCCACGCAGTACCTGGTGGTGCCCACCAACGAAAGTGCCTCGGTTCATGAGACATGTCGTTTTTTTTCTCGGCCAAAACTGAGCATGGACGAAGATTGAGGTAGGATTGAAAGAAACCAGATGGCACCATCTTGGAACAATTTGAGGTATGACAGGACAATGCTTTCCACACCCCTGACAGAGCCAATGTGATTAATTAGCATCAAGGTGCATCCAGGTGATTAGTTGGTTCCAACATCACTTTTTTTCGGCTGTTTGAGGGCTGTGGTTCCAACATCACTTTTTCCAACCGTTCGATGGCACCATCCCTGAGGTGCTAAGTGTCTCCTCTTCGCGGGATCCTTTGGTTCCGACGCCTTGTTGGAAGCCTTCAATGGATCGCTGGAGTTTCATCCAGCCATAGGCGGGCAGGAAGGAAGGGTAGAAGGATGAAGTGGAGAGGATGCTTTTTCATGCTTTTTCAGTATGCGTTTTGAACTTTCCTAGTGAGTTTGCGAGCCGCATTTCGGGCTTTGATATGTCGATGTTAAAGACAGATGAAAACAACAGTTTCCACCTCCAATCCCTGGAAGCCGCCAAACAGAGAACACCAGCCCAGTTCATGATAGCTGTTTGGTTCAAGTAGGCACTGCTTTATATAGTTTTTTTGGACATTTCATGCACTTTCCATTCGGGTCATGACGGTCGTGAGGTGCTACCATGGCTTCGGCTGGTCCACGTGAAAATGAGAAGATCGATGACTGGGTGAATCAAATGGATGAGATTCTGCGTGTCGTGGCTCTGAGGGTCTGGAATGGTCCGGATGACAACAAGCGGCGCTGACGCCTAGTGATGCCTAGTGGAAGATGGCTGTGTCCCAAACCCAAGGAAGTGACAAAAAGGACAGCATTGGATTCTCAAGCTCTAGGGCATGGCATTGCTGTTTGGAATGCAACTGCACTGGTTAATTATATAATGTTAGTTAAAACAATTGTAAACCATCCCAAAAATTGCCATAAATCAGTTGTATAAACCGGTATAAACCATACATGATATAGGTGGTTTATCGTTGCTTTATTAACATTAATGCACTTTGGAGCCGAATGTTTTGACTTCCGCCTAGCTCGGAGGTCCACTGGCAGAGACGAGTCCCTTCGGCAAGCGCATCGCCGTGGAACGCTTCCAAGAAAGGCTCGCTGAAACCCAGTGGACCACTTTGGTCCTGTTAATATGGGTTGTGATGGTCCAATATTAGCATATTAACAAATGTTTTCGAAAAAACAAGTTTTTTTCTCTTTTTCGAATTCCCCCGTAAAGCATCCCAGGACACCATCAAGGGGGTTGTTTTGTTGATGTTGTTGGTGTTATTGGTGTTGTTTGTGTTGTTTGTGATGTTAATTGTGTTGACGTTGTTGATGTTTGTCGTTGTATGTATATATATATAATATATATATATGTTGATTTTGAGGTTGATGTGGATGATAGCGAAAAATGATGACCACGACCATGATGATCAGTGATTATGATTGTTGTTGAAATGCATGTTTGCCTGGATCTTATCATGCCTTATCATCATCAGCTTCCTCCACTTTGAAGTTAGAGGACGGTCTCCAAAATTACACGCGGCCTCTTACAACGCTGTTTTCAGTGCCACTGCAAACCCCCACAAGCTCTGGGCCAGGGCAATGCGTGGGCTGCGAGACAGAGGCTCGGGATTTTTGGGTTTGGGCTTGAGTTCCTTGAGGATGACCGTGAAACTGGACCTCCCTTTCCAATCTTTCGGAGACGTGTTACTTCAGAGTGTCTATTTGGATCAGTATCTTTGCATGTTGTGAACTAATTACTGCCGGAGGAATACTGCGGTGAACTGAAAGAAGGGGAAGCATCATTCCAACATTTCACAAGTTTGACCAGTGGGTTTGCTACCCATCATGATGCGAAGCAGGAAGACAGGCAAACATTTTGTGAGCAAACTTACAGCTATCTGACTCTTTCACCACCTAGAATCTCTCTCTCTCTCTATATATATATTATATAATTATATATATCTGGTTGGTGGTTCAAACATTTTTTATTTTCCATAATATATGGGATAATCCTTCCCATTGACTTTCATATCTTTCAGATGGGTTGAAACCACCAACCTGTATATATATATATGTATACATATATATTATCATATTATCATATTAGATCATAGAATCTAGATATATATGGAATACATATATAGAATCATAATATAGAATCTATATATTTTGTCCACTTTGCTCATACTGCGTAGGTCAACGCTTGGCCTTGCAAGTCATGCTACCGATGAAAGTCGGGTTGTACAATTGACTCCTCGGTATACTCTGTGCAAATTAATTCCTGCATATCCTTGGGCAGCTCTGACCAGCTTGTTTCTAGCTGGCGTTCGGCCAAAAACCGGGACACTGCAGTCGCGATGGCCTTATTCATTCCAGGCGGATACATTTTCGCCCTTGCACTGGTAAATGATCCATCGCATTGAATTCCACGCAATGGTTGGTGCCCAGCTGGATGGTCACATCGTCCTCGACGTCCTTTGGAAACGGTAATGTCATGGAAAGTGCTAAGCCCCAGCAAAAGTAACGAGGTCGGCTTGGTGGCATTCAATCCATAAACACAGTGGTCAAACGAACAGACTTGGAAGCATTCAAGCCTGGCAAGGGTTCTGATCACCTGCAAAGTCCAGATCGATGCTGGCTTTTTCCGCATCAGCCACACCGGATACTGTGGATGCTCGATGAACCCGCACAGTCCTAGCTGGGCTGCTAGGGCAATCAACTCGACCAGAAACTGGATGAGGTGAGTTCCTGTGCAAACCTGCTTCCATTGTCTTGAGGAAAGGCCTGCTATTCCCCATGGCAACTGATGAGATCGCACCGGGGGGGCCGCCATCTGAGCGCTGCCAACCAAGTTTCACAGCTTGGCCCCCCCGATGCCGAGGATCTGTCCGCTTTTCATTTTACCAATCCAAAAGGTTTTGCTGCTTTCATCTGTGAGGTCTGAATGTTGCTTCGCTAAGCACAAATCCACAGATATGCAGAAGATGTGCTTCTCACCAACGATGTTGTGATTCTCCATGCAATGTTGCAAGTCTTCTTTGCGGCGAAAGCCGCTTAAAAAATGCACAAATATAAAGCCCTTGATGTGCAGTCTAGCGGTCTCAGCAGCTAGGCCGTACTGCTGAAACACTCCTGCCTCACCTGGGACTCTACTTCCATTTGTCTGCATGAGAAAAGGCACAAACTCATCCTCCTGTTCAGATCCAAGCGAGGACAATTCACAATATCCATCCAAACCTTCAAAAGCTCGACCGCTGACTGGGATGCGATTGTGCCATTTGGCCTTCATCGCTGCTGCGCCATCTGTTCCACACTCGGGTAACACTGGTCCGCATACCCTAATCATTGGGAGGAAAGCTTTGGATGAATGCCATCCTTTGGACTTCAGCATTCTATAGTTTTCTCTGTCTTCATCCTCAAGCTTCTGAACTTCTTCTGAAGCTGGCACAAAGCATGCAAGATAGGTGTTCTTACACGCTCTTGAATTTCCCACATGAGCAAGCAAGCGGGTGCGATTGAAGAACTTTTTGCAGCATGCCAAGCATTCATCCCCAAGAACAAAGTACTTGAGCAAGGTACGATATTGGTGCTTGTGCCGGGCATGAACCGTGAGAGCCTTCTTGGTATCGAAGCCTTCTGGGCATAGGCTACACTTCCAATTCTTCTCCTTTTGACTGATGTCCCTCAGCGCTACATCAGCGAATCTGAGCCTGAATTCGAAGTGTCCATAACTTCCCTTGTGCACCGGCCTCATTGAATCTCAAACAAGATTTCAAAACAGTCTTATTGACCCGCCCATTCCACTTCTGATCAATTGCAATGAACTGGAGCAAAGACCCTGCATCACCAAACGCAGGAGTAGCCCCCGCACCAAGATGCTGTCGCAACCAAGAATAGGACACCATCAGATGTGGCAGCCACGAATTTTCATGCTCATTTTCATGCAGAAACGACCAAAGAGCTGCCGGCGCTGTATGGATTGCTCTGCGGACATATCGCAGTCGACTGGCATGTAAGTAATCACGGGGTCCATGTACTAAGGCATATAATTCAGCAGTTGTGAACTGAAATGGAGGGATTGGCCGTACCTTATTTCTTGCAAGCTTTGATACCTGCCCTTTGACACCATGGTCCCATTGCTCCACATCTGCGTCTGTGATCCATGCCCATGTGTGAACATTATATGCATGCCTAGACATCACCAGGGCTGCAAATACCGAGGCTTTGGTGTGATCACTGACATTCTTCTTCCCATAAAACTGCCGACTCAACTGTCCGTAAGCCTTTCGGGCTTGTGCGACACGATATCGCATGTCCTTCTGGATAACGGTGTGATCGTGCACAAAGGAACCCAAATGCTTGTACGAGTGCACAATTTGAAGCATCTGGGTACCATGCTCAGTGACCACCGGCAGGCGTCCTCCACATTCATGCCATACCCTGTGTTTCGCGGCTTTGGATCCTGGGCCTGCGAGCTTAAGAACTGCCTCTGTTTTTCCAGTTTGATAATTGATTTTCAAACCACGAGCAGCCACCGCATCATGTAGAGAGGATGAGATGACTTGAAGATGCAAAACGGCCTCATCTGAATTGTCCGAGTGTATCGCATATGCTATGTCATCAACAAAGGAGATCTCCGCAAACCCTTTGCGTGGTATGCATGTTGCACATGAGACATCTGTGGATGGTCGAGGCGAACCAAAACACTGGGTGCTTGCAGACTCCAGTATCCTCTTTCTTGCGTCAAGAACTGCCAACTTGAATGCCATATTGACAAGAATATCCGCGGCTGGGTCGCCTGGGCGAGTCCCTCTCATTGTAGCGGTATCACCTTCAACACCTTGCATGGAGAAATGAGTACCCGAAAACATGTCTCTGAGAATGCCTTCCTGATGTGCATCAATCCCAGCTGTGGCATTGTCCCCTGTGACACTGGCTCGCACATGATGCCAATCTTCTGGGGTGATTCCCAGGTGTTTCATCGCATAACAATGTGTGTCATCATGGAAATCTCCAGAAAACAGCGATGATCGCAGAATTGAATAGAAGGCAGACTGCAGGTCTACAAACAAAATCACACACGATGTCTTTGTGGTTCGGGCCCAGGACAAATGAGCATGCAAGAGATGATGCGCAACATCTGTGGAGCATCCTTTTCTGCCTCCAAGCTGAATAAGGTTGTCATCTTGACACCAAACATCTGCAAGTCCTTGTCTCATGTTCGCGTGATGCACCTTTGCACTAGCACCAGAAAGGAAAATGGATCTATAGGCTGAGGGTCCGACGGTGATCCCTTGCCCTTGAATAAGGGCACCAGCAATCCACCTTTCCAAGCAAGAGGTTCTTGCGTGTGCCACGATGCTTTTACAAGCAGCGGTGTAAGGATCTTTGCCATTGAAATCCCACCACACTTGAGAATATTGACCGGCAATTGCCCGGGGCCTGGCACTTTGCCATTTTTGAATTTTCGGATGATCGAGAGCACCTATATGGGTCAGGGCAAAACCTTGCATCACGTCTCGCCTCAACGTCACAGTGCGAGTGAAGCTGGGCAATCTGAATGTCTGTAACATCAGTGCCTGCCTCAATCATTGCAAACTGCTCTTTCCATATTTCTTGACATTCCTCGAAGGAGTGCGCACATTGGCCATCGGCCTTTTTGAGCCTGGGCAAGGGGCGTGGTCCCCTGCCAAGGTCTTTCTTCCTTCTACCGAGTCTCTGTAATTGTTTGTAAACCTGGGCGGTATCATGGCGTGCACCTGCATCATTGATACTGTCCAACCAAGTGCTGTACCATGCTTGCTGATCTCTCAACACCATGGGTTTGATGATTTTCTCAATACTTTTTAATTCCTCACTCAACAGTGGATCTTGAAAATCTTGGTGGCGAGCCATACCAAGTATCTGCCTCTTCAAGCGAATGCCATCAAGATTGCTTTCACTGAGAACCGGCCTGGACTTTTCCTTCGCTTCGAAATGTTGATTGGCAAGCTGAAGGATATTTGTTTCAACAATTTTTGAATGATCGTCGTCCTATCGTCACAGACCATGACGGCAACGGGAGAGAGGTCAAAGCGTCTGAAAAGGCACGTTGCGCTTCCACATCATGGATCTTGTGGAAGTCCCAATGAAACCTCTTGCCTGTTTCCCTCAAAAGCATGAACCCTTCTGCCTCACAAACGGCAGGGCAGTGATCAACGTGACAAAATCCTCCATCAAAGTCAGCCTTCACATACGACTTTGTGCAAATCGAAAAAAGTGGTCGACTAAGGAGGACATAATCACGACGCAACCTGTCACCTCTAGGGTGACGCCATGTGGCTGACATACCAGAGTGTTGTGGAAAGGTCGAGGGTGCATACGGGCATGTGGAAATCAGAAAATCTTGGAATTCAAAACCCTGTGGATTCATGGCCTCAGCATGGTGCATACCAAAGAACTGCGTATCACGATCTGCGAGCGGAGCATTTGCATCAATCAACACCACTACGTTTTCACTGAGGCTATTGCCGACGTGCACTGCCGTCTGTTCCCACCATTGTTTAACAATATATATGGGTCTCTCTGCAGAAACACAGAGGGCATGAGCAACTACGACCTGAAGACTAATAGGGCCTTCAAAGAAGGCCACCATGATTCTCTGCTCTTGGGTGGTGATTGTGATTTTGCAATTATGCAAGCCAACTTTTCTACCATCAGGCATGGTACAGAAGGGAAGTTTTTTGTGAACCCACAACTCACATCCGAAG